TTTTAGTAAACTAGAAGGGTACTTGTGAAATGTAGCGAGATACATCTCGATTTTAATATTTCGTTTTTTTTTCCGGTTCATGTTATAATACAGTTTCATGTGGTTTTGAAAAAAAACGATAATCTTTTTAATTTTGAATAAAATATAAATATGAAGATATCATAAAATTTTGAAAAATATATATTTATATTAGTATCAAACTAACAATTTAAAATTTCGCTTTTTTTGTGTAATTTCTTTAATTAATTTTTCTTATTTTTGATTTAATACAATTTTTTATAAAGATAATAATTAGATATTTTGTTAGAACTCAATGATTATCTTAATTATATTTAAAATAAGATGTTTATCATATATTTGATTATGTTTATCTGTAGTTAGTTACATGAATTCAAAATAAAACTTTAATCAATTGTACTTACGCACAATTTACTTGTAATCTTGAATTTTAAGTAATATACATCAATAAACAATACTTAATGTATAAAAAATGGTTTTTAAAAGTTTTTATTAAATATTTTATAATATAGTATAGATAATCGATTCAAAGCATTAAATACCATCAATCACCTCCATGGCATGATTTGTTCACCTCCATGGCATGATTTCATCCTATTTTTCTAGACACATATCGAACGAAAACGTAGTCATCGTCATCTCCTCCGCTGCCCTGACGCCAAGAAAACCTTACAACAGGTTTTTTTCTCTAGACACAAGTCTTAATTCTTGCTTGTTTGTTCGAAGAACATGGATCCAATTTTGGTGCTTATTCGATTTCATCTTTTGATTTAGGGGTTCCGTTTTGTTTTGCATTATGTTCTCAAAGCGAAGAAAAGTAGCTCAGGAAGATAAAAGTTGTGTTCTCAAGTGTTTCGTATGTGTGTTGAGTTTTTTTTTCCCAGATCTGCTTACAAATCTAGGTTTTAAGTTCTATTTAGAGCATCTCCAACGTTGACACAGAAAAGAAAACCAAAAATACTAAAAACGGCAGATCAATTAATACCTCAACTCCAATCACACTTTAAAAGAAACATCAAATTTATGCGCTCGTACATAAACCACATATTATATTTATTATTAAACCATTTTTGTATGCAATTAATTATCGTTTGTAAATAAATAAGTAGTAGTTAATTTATAAAGTAATTTATTTAGTGAAGACTCGTTAAAACGAAAACGACAATTTATTAATTCATAAAATTTTATATTACAAAAAGATTTGATTAGGGTAAATACTAAAACAAAAGTCTTCAATAATTGTACTTAAAATTAAATTTCAGAAACCATTGTTAACAAAGTGATAATTATATATCAAAGGGCCTTTAGTCTAACAGTATGTGAGTCTTTGTCCTCCTAAGAGGGATAGAGATACTTTTATAAATTGATTTGGGAATTTATGTTTTAATTTAAAGCATTCATCGTCATGAACCGGTTCATGACTTTGCTACATCAGTTTTCTCTTTCTTATATATTTCATAAATCTTTCACCTTCAATCATGGACTGTTACATCGTTTATATAATAATAGATGTTGATTAATAAATCCTTTATTTCTTACATTAATTTGTTTGTGCAATATGCATGAAGAACAATAATTACACACAACAAGAACTAGAAGTCTAGAAGTACTTGTCAGGTGTCATCTCACTTACCATATCAATTGAGCATGATAATAGGGTTAAAGATCGAGAATCTAATCCGGTAAAAATATATAGCAAGGATCGAGATTCTTACCAGATAAGTGATGGAAAAAGACTCTTACCTGATAAGCGTTTATCAGTAAATCATTTTAGTGGTTGAGAATATTAATCGATAAAGTGAGAGTGATGTCTCGCGCTTGGTAAACGGCCCCCAACTTTTCTTCCATTTTGTGACTATATAATTCTTCATATGGGATTGAGATTGTGAGGGTCATAAAAGAAAACCCAACTAATCAAAATCAATCCAATGTCAATATAAAGAAAATAGTAATTTTGTGGTCTGTTTTTAATCTCCATCTTAATTTGTTTATTTGTTTTAATTTTATTGTATAATCTTCTTGATGAAGTAATTTGATGTTGTTTTATGTTCTTTAGATTGAGGAAGGAGAAGATGGTTTTTGATGTGACGGATGCTAGAGCGGAGTATTCTGATGGGATGAAACCCATGTGTCGGTGGTGGGCGGTTGAGCCACGAACAGGATCCCTACAGTATCTCTATCTGCCTCAAAAGAACAATAAAAGTAATCCCGAAGATGGGTCAAATCGATACATTGGTCGTATTGATTGTGAGTGTATTTCTTACCGGAGCATGTTTGTTGAGAATACGATGATGCAGTTAAGAGGAAAACCATGGTAACTACCAATAAAAGAAAGAAATTGGAAGGGTACGACATCATAAAATGTGGCAACGAAATCAGTGGACATTTTCTGAATTTTCTCTTATGACATCAAAAATACGCTCACAACCAATACAGCCAATGTATCGATTTTCCCCATCTAGGGGCTTACCTTCATTAGTCTTTTGAGGTCGATAGGGACACTGTAGCGATCTTTTTTGTTGCTCCACCGCCCACAACTGACCTGTGGGTTTCATGGGCAATGCGTTGATCGCTTTTCCAATCGAGATAATGACACCTAGATACATCAAAACTTTCCCGTGGGCTGATCCAACTTGGTATTACATACACGGGTCCTACGCCAAGTTTTCCGCATAAGCTATTGAGGTCACTGGCTGGGGACTAGACTCGAGCTCGAAAGCGAATCAAAGAGTGGTAAATATATTGGTCACTGGAGTATTGCAAATTTACATTTCAACTTTTAAGACCAAATTGGCACCAAGTGCAATTTCAGATTAACTGATACCCAAATACACACTAGTCTTCCATAGCCATTGGATCTTGATTCAGATAAAGAGTTCCTAAAGCCAATAAAAAAAAGAGTTCTTAAAAAAGCACAAAATCCCAAACTTTATTGTAGTATTTACCACCATGGAAGCAAGTGGAGATCAACCATGGACGGACAGACCCATAGTGGTGCATAGCCAAATGATTTTATCGTTTGAAAAAAATCTGGCTCCATTCCCGAGGCTGAAATCATTGCTTTAGTTTAGAAACATTTACTTGGATTGTTGTGTCAAAGAGGAAGTCCACTAATAATTGTTGTAAATCTCAAACTTTATTGTAATATTTAATGGGCATGTTTCATTATGACTATTGTATCTACGAATATGATTAAATCGTGTGGTTTCCCATTTGATTGGAACTTTGGATCATGGAAGCATATGCTATGTCATGATGATGGTACGATGACTACACCATATGTAAATGACATGTGACATCATACATTCATCATCCATGCCCATTTGCCACTCAATTTCATTTACCCACACGCTACTAGTAAATGGGCATGGAATGCAGCCAACCCAACGGTAGCACTCAACGGGCACGACATGCAGGCAAGTCAAGGCATCATGTAAGGAAGTCAAGCTAACGGTTGTAAATAACGGGCACGACGTGCCCGTTTGCTCGCATAGGCCGACCGTTCCTTCCACCATGGCCGAGTTTTCCCACAGTACGCGGCTTGGTTTCCTCGTGTCATGGCCGAGTTTTCCTGCAAAAAAAAATTTAGAGATTTAAGGATAAAAGGCGTTTTCGATATAACGTACATTTAACTATAGTCCAGAAAACCCCAACTTTAGCAAACACGAAATTTGAAAACCATTTTCACATTCGAATAATCACAAATAACGTGAAAACTGCAAGTGACTGGTTTAACCGATCATGTGATCATTTTGAATTATTCAAGATAATTTAACGTTTGAGGTTAAAATACGGCTTATTGTTTGAGTGAATAAGAGAGCACATGGGACCATATTTGCACCTTTATAGAAGTTGAATGGACCATTGGAATGTTCTTTGAATACCACTGTTACCACATGCACTTCATATAATAAGTCAATAACTTTTTTTAAATAGCTGTAAATAATCATGATAGTAACGGATTCAGAAATTTAGATGATCGGATTACATTTGAAAAGGTTAAAGAAAGGGTTTCGGGTTAATTATTTTCCGGGTTAAACGTTTCAAATGCAACCCATCATATTTGTACAACTAATATATATAGTTTTTCTCTAGTATTCTGAAATCATGCATGTCGGTCAATCTGACATTCTATAGATGCAATAAATTGCTTGGACTCACAAAGTAATTTCAATATTTAACATATCATGTCTTTTACATACTTTTATTTAAAATAAATCTACTTATAAAGTTTTTTTATTGTTTGATATTATGACAATTTTGATGTTCTCGGGTTATCTATCGTTGGTTTTTTGAAATATATGATGAAGAGTCATTTCATTAATTGTATTTAATTAATATGCAGTTGTCGAAAACAAAGTCGTCCAATTCTTTCAAGATTTAAAAACAAACTATTTCTTCAATTCAGCTATATCGAATGAATCATTTTTATAGGATTTAACTTTCATGGTTTTCATCTGTTTTTCAAGATACATTTTACTTGCAATAAACTCCATAATTTAGAGGTATTGAACATTCTATAAATAATTATATTAATTTTTCATTTTTAATTTACAAATGTTTATATTCTGCTGTATTGTAGAGAATACATAACCAGTTATATAAAAAAATGGTATATATATATAGCATCAGCATTTAACAAATAAAAAATATACATTTATCATAACCGTTAATTTAATATATAATAAACAAAAATATATGATTACTATATGTAAATTGATTAGAGTGTGTTTGAGATTGCTTATAAAAACAAATTATTAACGTATTTTGATGTGACATTTAGTGATAACATTTTTAAGTGTTTGGATAAACAATTTATACCAATATCAAACTGGTAATAAGAAGCTTTTGAAGAAATAAACTATTCTGACTTATAATAAGTTGATAAACACTTTTATAAAAAAACATAAGTTGTTTAGTAATTTTAAACACCTCGAAGAGTTTAGGATTATAATATAAGTAGTTCAATTCAAAAAAGAAATGATTTTCTAATTTCTTCCCATTTTTGTGGAGGACTACATGCAGGGTACGAACAAATTCTCACGTTTTCCGGTCGTCGCAAATTCCTAACTAGATATCAATAAACAAGCAAAAAAGATAAGAATCGCATAAATTCCGGTGGTACCGGAAGATGCCCCAGTACTCGGAGAAGCGGTGGTGCTACCGGCGGTGGTATTACCAGCGGTGGTGTTACCGGCGGCTGTACTGGTAGCATTACTCTTTCCTTCCAGTTGTAGCTTGCCCATAGCCTTCATATTCTCCGGTGAAAACCCATGTTTCTGTGGCACTCCATCCTTCACAGAACTTCCAACCTGCCACACATGGTTCACCTCCGTTATCGTCTTCGGCAACTTCACCATCGCGAAGATCTTCATCACTCCACCGGAAAACTCCGCGCTGGACTCCGGCACCTCGAACGAGACCTTTCCTTCTTCGATGGACGAGTAGGAACTGATGTTGTAGGTTTTAACAGTCATGGATCCCTTGGAGTTCTTGAAGGCGATGAGCGATTGACACCCTATCATTCCGGTGCCGGTGGGGTTGATTGCCCATGCGATCCAACCGTTGGGTGTCGCCGGAGGTGCGATGAATGCGACGTCGAGGGTGGAGTTTTGTGGGGTGAAAGTCCAGTGGAGGGTAGAATTGAGAGTGGGTAGATCGGTGCAGTTGGAATAAAGCTTGTTGTTTGTGAACTTTTCCGATGAACAGTTGAGTGAATGCACCGGAGATGATCGTAAAACCAGTGACGTCAATGTGAGGATGAGGAAGAAGAAGAAGAATGGCGGTGGCGATGGGCGGAGGACGGCCATGTTGGTGGTGAGATATAATATAAAGGAGATTGACGTGTATATATAATGAATGGATGGTGTAGGCTCACAGTTGTTACGGTGGGACGAGTCGTATAATAGCTTTTCTTTTCAGCCGTCTGGCAGCACGATCCATGGATCTAAATACATTGTCTTCAATCCCCTCCGTTGGTTTGAAAAAATATACCATTTTTTAAATTTATTAAGTTTAAATATCCACATGAATTATTTTCGGGAATAATTTTACATTTTTGGGTATTTTAAGAATATAATTATAAACCAAAATAAAACCATACATTTTTCAATAAACAATGATGGTTAAGACGTGTAACACAATATTTTTTTAGAATAAATTTCCGATTTGGTCCTTATGGTATGTGGGCTTCTACGGAATTGATCCCTAGAGGCCTAGACTTTATTATTATGTAGAAGATTATCTCACAGTATGCATTTTTTCACAGATGTAGTCACTTACTCTGACGTCCATCCACATGATCCATTAAACTCGAGGGTAATTTTTGTCTTTTATATTTGTTTAATCCATTTTAATGTTTTTTTAATGTTCATCTTTAATCATCGACAATCAAATTCAAAATCAAAAGTCTTAAATCGAATCAGATTTAAATCAACCACCTGACTTTGTGTACTCATGTGAAACTCGCTACAAATCCCCACTATCCTCTCTATAGCAAATCACTGTAAAAAATCCTCTCCCATTTGTTTGTTGTGGCAGTTCGACGATGTAACCTCCCACTGTTTTCTTGTTACAAATCGATGTAAAAAAACTTCCCACGATGTTCCCGTTGCAAATGAGTTATAACCCTGAATTCCATGTCCGAAGCTGAAACCGCTGCTAGAAACCCATTGCAGAACATCACCACTATTTCATAGTCGATATTGTGTCGTAGTTGTATGCAGATAATGATCGAACCCACTTGTGTTCTTGTACTTCTTTCTTCCTATTGCGGTTAAGGCTCCAAACACCTATGGCTTAAGTGTTTGATTAAAGTTTCATCCAGGGTATGAATTAGATTGAGGGTTTCGCAACACGCTATTTAATTAGGATTTGATTTATATCTTGAGTATCACGCATTTTTTTGATACAAGAAAAAAGATAGAAACACGTTCAAGTTTATGGATGGGCGTTAGGGAAAAGGACTAAAATTGTGAAAACATACATATTACGAGGTATTTCATGTAATAAATGAAATCTAAAGACCAATAACCACGTGACCAAACATCTTAGTTACTTTATTTTGTAAATATAATAATAATAATAATAATAATAATAATAATAATAATAATAATAATAATAATAATAATAATAATAATAATAATAATAATATTCATATTACGAGGTATTTCATGTAATAAATGAAATCTAAAGACCAATAACCACGTGACCAAACATCTTAGTTACTTTATTTTGTAAATATAATAATNTAATAATAATAATAATATTAATATGGGTTTTCAATAATAATGAAAATTGCGTTGACTAAATGAAAATGGAAGAAGGTTGAGTAGTGAGAAAAAAGGAAGGATGGTTTGACTTTCCGCGCCAAACGAAATGCACGATCAAGATTGCATGATCTTCGATCTTATTGTTGCTCATTGATTAATTATATTAAATTTAAATAATTTAAATTTAAATTTAAATCTAAAACCTACCCAACAAGTTAGAGAAAAAATAGCCAAAAAGCAAGCAACTTAGCTTTTTGACTCCTTTTTGTTAAAAAAAAAAAAGCTGAAATTATATTGCGTTTGTTTCGGATTATAATTTTGGTATAAATTAAATAAATTTATTTTTTCAAAATAATCTGTAAATTTCGTTATTCTTTACAAATCTATATTATATTATAAAGAATTTAACAAAAAAATTTAAAAATCATTTTTTATGTATGAAAATATTGTTTGTTGATACATAATACTTAAAATTCAAAATTACAAGTAGAATGTGCATGAGTACATATACTAAAGCTTCATGTTTGAATTCGGGTAACTAACTGTAGATAAACAAAATCAAATACATGATAAACATCGTTTTAAATATAAAAAATCTAAAATATAATTAAATAATCATTAAATTGTAACAGAATACTTAATTATTATTTTTAAAAAAATTATTTTTCAAATGAGCCAAGCAGGCCGGATCCGACAAGTCGTACCGCCCATGAACCACTCTACTTTATTGGCATACATTAATACATAACCAAAACAATTGAGAGAAGGAAGACAATCAATGGTTTTGCGTTTTAACTTCTTTTTCTTTGATATCCTCAAAATATTTATACTATTATAAAACAGTTTAATTTTACGTTTTCAAATTTTTTAGCTTCTAAAGATATAAATATTAAAACATTATGCATAAATCAATAATGTATATAATAGAGGGTACTCCCACAATGTAACGAAATACATCTTGATTTTAATATTTCATTTTATTATCTATCTCAGTAGATGTTATAATATGCTCTTATGTGATTTTTAAAAAACGATAATTATTTTATTTTTGAATAAACTATAAAATTGAAGATATCATAAGAATTTGATAAAAATATATCAATATTATTATCAAATTAACTATTTAAAATTCATCATTTTTTGTGTAATTTTTTAATTCATTTTTTTGTTATAATTTAATTTGGGTTCAATAACGAAGTAATTTATATTTGGTTTAATAATATAATTTTCTTATAAAAATAATAATTAAATATTTTGTGAGAACTCGATAATATCCTAATTATATTTTAGAATTTTTATATTTTAAAATGAGATGTTTATTCTCTATTTGATTATGTTTATCCGCAGTTAGTTACACAAATTCAAATATGGAGCTTTAATAAGTTGTACTTATACATAATTTACTTATAATCTTGAATTTTAAATAATATACATCAATATACAGTACTTCATACATAAAAATAACTTTTAAAAGTTTTTATCAAATATTTTATAACATAATATAATATAAATGATTTTCAAGTTTTATACTAATTCTAATTTACTTTTTTAAGAAACAGTAAAGAATGGAAGTTTGAAAACTCGTATCATCATTTCATATGAACAAGTCAAATTTTGAAAACTCATGTATTTATTTCAATTTAAAAAGAATCTATATTAAATATTAAACAAATTATAAAAAATAAACATATTTTATTCTCTTTAATTTAATACAGTGATACCTATTTTGTGATACGGATTGTTTGGGGATGAGAGTTACGGTTTATCCAAGTTGGGTTGTCTGCTATATCTATACAATATTATCAAGCATTTGACAAAAACTCTTAAAAACTATTTTTTTGTACGTAAAATATTGTATATTAATGCATATTACTTAAAACTCAAGATTGTAAGTAGATTATGCGTAAGTACAACTTATAAAAGCTTTATATCTGAATTCGTGTAACTAACTGCAGATAAACATAATCAAATACAAGATAAACATCTAATTTTAAATATAAAAAATCTAAAATATAATTAGAATAGTTACCGAGTTCTAATAGAATACTTAATTATTATCTTTATAAAATGTTATATTATTAAACCAAAAATAAGTTATTTCATTATTAAACTTAAAATTAAATTATAATAAAATAAATTAAAGAAATTACATAAAAAATGAGAACTTTTAAATAGTTGATTTATATTGACATTGATATAGTTTTCTTCAAATTTATATTTTATTACAAAATAAAATCATTATAGCTTTCTTAAAAACACATAAGATCATATTATAACATCGACACAGACAAGTAATAAAATAGAACAGTAAATTCGAGATGTGTCTCGCTGCATTGCACGAATACTCTCTGATTTATAATAAAATGTTTATGAATTCATCTTATCTTTTGAAAATTCAAATTATTCTTTGTTGGGTAATAAGATTTACACCTGCAACATATATCAGTGTCAAGAGGCAATTTCTTAGTATTTGGGTTATTTTTAGGTATTCATATTATATAAAAAAAAATTGGGTTACGCCATATATATGAAAGAGTATACAATAATGATGTATTTGCTGAATCCAAAACCATGGTCTAATAATCAAGCATTCTGATTAGTTGATAATTTTACTATTAGTTTCGGAATTTTGTGAAAGGTTCCTAAAAAAGTTTCATTAACGCCTAATTCATGTCTACTAGACCTTGTTGTGAGAATTCTTAATTCATGAGTTGTAAGGAGGAATTTATGTCACCATAAACACAGACTAAATCCCATCTAGGAAGGACTAATAACCTGCTACTAATTCTTTGGTTACCAAACATTTACCAGGTAAGCACTTTCCGAGTCAATTACCTTTCTTTGGCCTTTCGCCAATCATCGAGAACCTCCCAAGGTGTTTTGCGCCTTTTGATAGGTTGTAATAGATTTATCGTCACACAACTTTCTATTTCTCCAGAAACCCCACATGATCACAAAGAAATTTACAGTAATTTTTGTAGAGTATGAAACTAGAATAGAAAAGAAAGGATCATGAATTATGTGATAATCTTTTACAACAACAACACTTTATCTGATTGTACTGTTGCTATTAAAATTTTCAGAGTCTTGATTTGATCAAAAAACTTTAAATTTGTTAAAAGAATGTTGTATATGAAGAAGTAAATAAATAAAAGGAAGGGAGTAGGGGTATACAGAAAGTCATCGATTTAATTTAAACCGATCGATCATAAATTGGATACTCAATTGTAATTGGATCGGATTAGATCCAAAATTTCAACATCCAAAGTCCGTCAATCCAATAAAATTGAACCAATGTAATCCATTTATCATTCAACTACCATCCAATTAACAACTAAATATAATTATTAACATTTTATGATATTGTTTTGTTAGTTGATATTTATATGTACTGGTTTTTCATAAATTATGAAAATATATGAATAATTGGTTGAAACATCTTATCAATTGATTGAAAATTGTATCACAATATTGGATGAATCCAATATAATTAAATAAATAATCAATAGTAAGACGTAATAAATTAAACCGATCTGATCTCCATCAGATTGGATCAGATAAGATGTCTAATATTAATTGGATTTGGATTAAAACAGCTTATCATCGATACCAAATTAATATAAATTAAAAAACAACTTTCATAACCAATCTCTAATACCTCCTGAATCACAAAATTCATCCTTCAAGTAAAGATCGAAATGCATAGCATTTCAACCGATAGAGCTTTCTGAGCCCAACAAGAGAAACTTTAACCAGTTTTTAATGGCTTGAATCTCTGGGCCCATTAGAAGGGTCATGTATATGAAACCCTACTGATAGTTCGTTCTACACAACACAGGGTTCTTCGTTGCCGGGAAATCTTCGGGTATCGGTTTACAGGTTTGATTCCCCTATTTCTTCTAGTGTTCAATCTCTTTACGCAAATGAATAGTTGTGTATGTGTAATTCGTCATTTGCAGATCTTGTACGATCCGCGTCTTCCGTTGTAACTTAATTCCTTGATTCCTTCAGTCTTTTTGAATGCTAATCTTAGGTTAATGTTCTTCTGTGATTACACTGAAATTTGTATCATCCAACACGACACTGAAATCTGCATGTTTTTAATTCAAATTTGGCGTATTTATATTTGAAATATAGCGATTCAGATATTTGTTTGTCGCGAGACGTGTTATTGCAATCAAATCTGTTTATGGATTTATTTCTTTACCATGCCTGCCGTAATTCATAATGTGATGTTTCTAATGCCGGATCATCATGTTTGTTTGGTGATTATTTTCGCTTCCCTTTAAAAATCATGTTCTTATATGTACACAAATGTAGACGCAATAGGATTAGGGGAGCTAGAAGGGCATTTTTCTTCAATTCTTCAGAACTTTTAGCTTGAAATGTGGTCGAAATTCATAAATCAATATCATAGCAGGGGTTATTAATGTGGTAGTTTATACATAATGTCTTAGTATGCAATGTTTTTGGGCATCCAAGAACTGTTTGAATCTCTCCACACTAAAAACTTTTTCCTGTTTTATTAACTTTTGGAAGTTGTCACTAAATATTTCATGGCTTGTTTCTTGTAGTAATCAATGGCGGTCCCTAAGCTTGATAAGAAGATCATCAAGAAGCGGTTCAAGAAGTTCAAGAGGCCCCAAAGTGACTGGAAAATCTGTGTGAAGGTATATTTTTCTTGAATTATTGTAACATATTAAAGACTAGACATAAATTGAAATTCATTTGAATTATTGATGGTCTGAACGTGTTTTTTATTTTATGTTTTTAACTGGATTGACAATTGGGATTATTGAATAGTTGATAAAGTGGTTATATTACTTCTTAATGTGAGGAATGGAAGACATTTAGACATCTCATGTATACCAATATATGATTTTTGTGTTATATGAATCAAGCAATATAGGTCATTCGGTTATGGGATTCAAGTATTTGCAATATATTTTACTAGTAGATCACAAGGCTTGCTTTTTTTGTTGTGTCGCAGGAAAACTGGCGCAGGCCGAAGGGTATTGATTCCCGTGTTAGGAGAAAGTTTAAAGGTGTCACTCTTATGCCCAACATTGGTTACGGCTCAGACAAGAAGACACGACACTTTCTGCCAAATGGTTTCAAGAAGTTTATTGTACACAATGCCAAAGAGTTGGAAGTTCTCATGATGCACAACAGGTATTGTAGTTTTCAACCGATATAATTATAATCTTTCTCTAAGGTTCCATTTGGTTTGACGGAATGTTTTTGAGGGATTTGGATTTCATGGAAGGACTTGGAATTGGGAGGATTTGGAATCTTTGGTGTGTTTGGTTTCTAGGATTTGGAATAGGATAGAATTCCATTCCTTTATAAATAATAATTAAAACAAATTACAAAAAATTATAGAAGTAATAAAATTACCTTTTTATTAAAGGTTATTACAAAACAAGTGTTTTCAACATATTTTAAAACATTATTACAAACAAATCATATGAAACCCCACGGAATACCAACTATGTAAAATCCCATGTTTGTGGGATTTGAATTTTGGGCTCCCCATTAAACCAAACATGGTGTTGGAGTGGAATCTAAATCCCGCAAATCAAACGGGTTTTAATCCTTTTGGCAGTAACTTTGCTATTTCAACCAATATGATCACAAACTACTCTCTAATCCTTTTGGCATCAACTATGTTTTTTAGGACGTATTGTGCTGAGATTGCACACAACATATCTACACGCAAGAGGAAAGAGATAGTTGAGCGTGCAGCACAATTGGATGTGGTTGTTACCAACAAGTTAGCCAGGCTGCGCAGCCAGGAAGACGAATAAGCTTGGTAGCCTTATACCATTTGTCCCCTTTGTGCTGTTTAACCTTCAAGTGCTCAAGGATCTTATTAGGTGCATAATATTAATTGGTGTAGTTTTGTTACCAAAATCTTTATTCGATTCTGAATTGATTTTATTGAAGAGTGATTTATGCTGCTAATAGGCATTTCCGCTTTAAGATTACATAAGTATGCTTACATATTTGCTAATCTCTACCTTGCTACATATCGTGTTCTTTTATATTTCCCGACATCCTTTATTTGTCAAGAGTACTTCATCATCTGTAGAACCCGAGATCTTCAACATCTATATGTTTCTAATTTGTAATCTCATTTGTCTTCAAGAATCTTTGATGACTTCTATTTGACGTTCGTTCAAATTCAATACTCTTCTGCTGGCTGTCAGTGAGATATATCTTCTGCTAGGTTCAGGATGCATTCGATAGGTCAATCTTGTAGTAGATGTCGTTAAAATCTACTTTTCTTGAAGGATTCTCTGATCGGATGATATCTTTTATGCATTTTTCGATCTGCATTGTTTCTCTTATAAGACTCCCGATGCAGAATTCGAAAGAATTCAAGTGTATAATTGTTTTCCCTGTAAAATCGTTGTCACCCTCACTTTTATTTTCGACCTTCTTGAAGTGTTGAAGGAAAGCATCTGTAGTTTTCATGTCTGCTTCCATTGACACGCATGTCGTGTTTGAAGTTGGTCGATTTGCCGACTCCAGGTCCAGGAAGCCTTCTCTTTCTTGTAACTGGCGATCAAAGGTGTCGATGCACTTCACTAAAGAAATCTTTTGTAATCGCTTCAACCGTAGACTGGTGTTTTCTTTCATCATCATAAGATCACCATAGATGTGTTCTTGAAGCTCTCTGTAAGAACCATCTGAGCTTTCGGACAAATTTACGATAAACTCCATGTTATAAATCATAATCTGCATCAAATCGACCATTTGTGTAAAGCTTTTTTGCAGGTTATCGTAGCAAGAAGCCCTGAACGGTAGAAACCAGAAGCCCGGTTCGGACTTCGCATCTTGGCTCAGGTTTTTCAATTGATCTATATCGGATTTCAATTTCTTGAGGTTTTCTTTCAGTGACGGAAAGATTGGAGCCCCATTTTCTTTTCTAGTTGCTATTCGATGTAAGCATTCGTCTACTGTTTCCAAACATCGAGATAGTTGTCGTTTCACCATAGTTGCAGGTCTGACTGGTTTAAGGAGAATTTCCAACAAGACGAAGAAAAAAAGCCCGATGGAAACCTCTGTTATTCTAGCAATTGCGAATTCCTTTGGCTCACCATAGTTTTTCCGGCCAAGGATCAAAAGTGCTCCAATCACCGCTGCGATGCCGCCGCTTTCCCCAAACATCTGACTATGGTGTAGCAAGCTTGTGAAAACGATCCATGGTAGGAGAATTACAAATCTCATTTCGGGGTACTGATGAAGAAGACAGCTACCGAGCACTCCGTAAACCGTGCCGATTGCCGTACCTTGTACTCGAGCATTCGCAACCGTGAAAATCGGTAGTCTACCTTCTACAAAGCTGATGGCTATGGTGAGTCCCGACCAATACCCGTTCTTTTTGTCGAAGATCATTCCGAGCAGAACCGCAAGTCCTAACGATATCGAGCACTTTAGGGCAAACATAAGTCTTTCTTTACTCGTTTGAGTCTTGTTTGGCCGGTTTATCGATTCTTCGGCTACATGAACCTTCTGGCCGTCGTGTGATTCCGGTTTCGGGTTCATGCTCGAGTTGTTTACAAGTAGTTCAAAACACGATAAGAAGAAAAAGGCCGGTAGGTTTTTGTGTGTTGGTGGAACGTTTGCAAGAGTGTGTAGGGATTTCTCAAAGAGTTCGTCTTTTCTTTCGGGAACAGTCATGGCATCATCAAACGGTACAAAACACTTGGCATCCTCGAGCTTTAGGGTTTGTTGGACTCGTGCACTTTGCAAAACGGTTCTCAACTCGTCGTCAACGATCTCGAGCGGAAATGAAGGAATTGCCGCTAGCGCCATTTCCATTCCTTTAATCGGTGTTTCGATGTCGTCTAATCTGTCTCCCATGTTCACGAAACTGCGTTTGAAGTCACGGAGACGATGTCTCTCCCAGTTTACACCTTCCTGTTCAATTCAAAGTTTTCTTCCGTAAGAGAACCGTTACTGTTATAGAAAAAGTCTAATAAATTCTATAAAGTAGTCTGTTAAAACATTTAGACATATTTAACGTTCTATGAAGTTATGTTTTAGCAGCATAACGAGCTTAGTGGACTCGTAGTTTATTTTGTCGGGTATACATGATTGTTTTGTGGTGTTTTTGATGATATAGAAAACGACGAGGAAAGTTTTATGTAGAAAACCAAGTTTTTTTCATACATGTTTCTCCCAATTAAAAATCACACTCCTTTCCTCAGACAAATTTTTTTTAATCTACAAAGACAGATTAATCTATATATAACTGTATTTATACATGACTTAATGAAAAAGCAATGGTGGGTAAATTTACCTGGATGTGGTTGATGTGGTTAAGCAGATGGGTTCCTGATTGAGCAATGGGTTTAGCTTGAGAAACAAGATCATCAGCAGTGGTTTCATCTTCACTCAAGAAAGCTTTCATATAAAGGCTTGTTCTTTCTGATGCATTTTCTGTATATAACTGGAATTGCTTCTTCACCTACAAATGTAGTATCAAATCAAACACTATTAATAAAGAATTTCCATTCATTTTATGTAAAAATCAATATATGAATTTGTGCTTTAATAATAATTTTATTAAAATTCAATCCGACCCGACACAACCCATATCTAACCCTTCCATAAAAAGTTACTCGATGTGACCTATTGCTCAACTCATCTTATATTTCATGTCCCGTGTTATTAGTTGGTTGGTTTTTCTGTTTAAAACTTCTATTCGAGTAATCGTGTGCATTCGAGGCTGATTTGTGATTAATGACATAAAAATAATAATCGATAAGTTTGTGAGTGACACTGAAAGATACTGGAGTTGGCGATCTATGACTAATCTTGTTCTAAATTTGGACAAAAAAAAAACTACCGTTACCACTTTGGATGTGAACTGTAACATAGTTAGGGGTTGTTTGGTTGGTTTTTTTTTATTAAGTTATGTATGGATAACACTGTCTAGTGGATTAATATGTTTGCATGGATTGGCAATACTTTTGTTTGGGAGAGTCTTTTCATAGATGGAAGAAGTGTGTTTTTAATAGGAAGAGATATGTTTGGAAAAAACTTGGTTTTCTACATTAAGTTTTCCCTAAAAGCTTATTGAATAAATCAATTTTTATATCATAAATTCACTATCAAACAATTATGTATAACTAATCATATAAGCTATGAATATTATTAAACTCGTTAAGCTACTAAAAAGCAGTCACTTAATCTTGAAACAATCCTTAAAGGCTGTTTAACAGTTGCTGAATGATTTGGTGCAAAATGATTAAGACGCTCTCATGATATGGTGCAAAATGAAATATAATTATTTTGTAATTGTTTACAATGAAATCATTCAGAGGGTTTTTAAACCATTAAGAGACAGACTTTTTTTTGCCAAACAAGATTAACCTTTTAACAATTCAGATGTTGTTTTTTAATAGAACTATTAAGAGATAAACAAACAACCCCTTAAACTATAAACTATAAATCTATTCCAATTCAAAATCCGAATGGAAAACAATATTAAATCTTCTTAAGAAAATTATTTCCTACTCTTTTTCTTAATATCGTAACATTAAAATCAAAATAATTTACTTTTATAGTTAACACATAAAAAGAAATTAAGACTCAACAGATTTTTTATATATTTTTAAATTTATTTAATTTAAATTCATATTTTTAGGGCAAATTATATGAAAAAGTAACGTACTGTAACTCGATTTCTATTTTATGTAACGTACTTTCAAAACTTATATTTTGGTATAAGATGTAAAGTTTAAATATTTAAGTATCTGGTTAACCGGTTGAAACATAAACCAGTTACCATGCTGTTTTGGCGAGTGATGTGATATCGAACTAAATATTATTTGCTGAATTATTAACAAGATTTCATATTTCATACGTTGAAAAGAATTCGTTTAAATATCAGTTGAAAATAAAAAGATAAAATACAAAAAGGATTTGAGGTTAATTACCTCAGTGACAGCCAGCCTAGGGTACGGCAGTATCAAAGCCAAGACAGAAGCCGACGCCCCAAGCGCCGTGCATGCCGCAATATGAATAGGGTGCGTCAACGGTCCGGCGTCATGGCCGCGAACCACCGCACCAACATATATGATCACCAGCTGTGCAAACGCAATGCGCTTCGTTAGCAACGGCAGACACTCCGGCACCGCCACCAGAAACGCACTCAACGCCACCGCAACGGCAGCTCCAGTCTCCGTGAAACTCGACGGACCCACAACCCAAAGACACAACATCGACGACGGCACCACCACCACGGTGGCGCAAAGTGCTTGCCAACACCCTCTTAAGGTGGTGCCAAGTGTGGCGTCGGAAACGATCAGGATGGCAGTCACATAGGCGACGGAAGGATACTGTATCTGGTGCTGGAGGTGTTCTGGTCCGTATAGGGCGGTACAGCCGATTATGGTGCATGCTATGGCTGTTCTGAAAGCTGAACCTAGTCTCTCCCACCATAAACCACCTGCATGCGGTGGCGTCACCACCTGAACTCCCATTTTTTCTACTACACTAGCGGCTTTCATTGTAGTTGATCCAAAAATCTGTGTTTCTTTTTGGTTCCAAAAGAGAGAGAGTTTGATTGACGTTTAGATGTTACAAATATCTCTGTGTTTCTGCTTTCTTGCACGGTGGTTTTGTAGGGAAGAAAAATGGAGGGGGGTCATTACTATGAAGGGGTCCTACGTGGGACAGTTCATTTATAAAAAAGTATTGGTAGAGAACGGGACTAGTATTTTATAATATATATATATATATATATATATATAGGGAAGGGTTCAAACGAGAACCCCTGTGATTTACGAGAACGCAAGAACAACCCAATAACCTCATATTGTGATAAAAAATAAAATTAAAAGATTTTTAAAATTAAAATTAAAATTTAAAAAGATT